GTGACATGGTCAGGGCGGCATGAGTGACGGCTGTGTTAATTCTCAGGAACGGGGCCAGGCACCTGACGTTTTCTTCTGCCACCTTCTCCTGGAGGAGACCGGCATCGTCTTGGTGGACGGGACCAGCTTCGGCCAAGCAAAGGGGACTTACCACTTTAGGTGAGCAGGCTGGGGATAGGGGGTTGTAACCATGTTCTATATGTGAAGGAGCCACACGATGGGGTAATATAGGCTGGGGATAGGGAGTGTCACTGTGTTCTATTTGTGACAGAGGCCCCCCCATGGGGTAATATAGGCTGGCGATAGGGGGGTGTCAATATGTTCTATATGTGGCAGAGGCAGGGCCGCCATTAGAAATCATGGGGGCCCCATACAGCCTACATGGCGAAGTCCCCCCCTCCCAGTTGCCAATGGCATGCTGGTACTTGTTGTCCCCCCACAGTCTCACACTATTATTATACATTTATATAGCTGTGACATATACCACAGTGCTGTACAGAGATCACTGGGCCAGTCACATTAGTTTCTGTACAGAGAAGCTTACACTCTTATGCAGAATGGCACCGGCTGTAGAAGGACTACAAATCCCAGCAATACATTATTCAGCAATGCAGAACAGTTTATGCATTAGACTCTGGACTTAGTGAGGCACTGGGCTCAGGACATAGTAACGCATTGGACTCTGGGATTAGTAACGCACTGGACGCAGGGCTTAGTAACGCACTGGGCTCGGGTCTTAGTAACGCACTAGAGTCTGGACTTAGTAACGCTCTGGACTTAGTAACGCACTGGAGTTAGGGCTTAGTAACGCACTGGACTCAGGGCTTAGTAACGCACTGGAATTAGGGCTTAGTAACGCACTGGACTCAGGACTTCGTAACGCACTAGACTCTGGGCTTAGTAACACACTGGACTCAGGACTTAGTAACGCACTTGACTCCAGGCATAGTAACACACTGGACTCTGGACTTAGTAATGCACTGGACTCTGGACTTAGTAATGCACTGGACTCTGGACTTAGTAACACACTGGACTCAGAGCCTAGTGAGGCACTGGACTCTGGACTTACCGTAGTAATGCAGTGGACTCTGGGATGAGTAACGCACTGGACTCAGGGTTTAGTAATGCACTTGGCTCTGGACTTAGTAACGCACTAGAGTCTGGACTTAGTAACGCACTGGACTCTGGACTTAGTAACGCATTGGACTCTGGACTTAGTAACACACTGGACTCTGGACTTCGCAAGGCACTGGACTCTGGACTTAGTAACACACTGGACTCAGAGCCAAGTGAGGCACTGGACTCTGGACTTAGTAATGCATTGGACTCTGGGATGAGTAACGCACTGGACTCAGGGTTTAGTAACGCACTTGGCTCTGGACTTAGTAACGCACTAGAGTCTGGACTTAGTAACGCACTGGACTCTGGACTTAGTAACGCATTGGACTCTGGACTTAGTAACACATTGGACTCTGGACTTAGTAAGGCACTGGACTCAGGACTTAGCAAGGCACTGGACTCAGGACTTAGTAAGGCACTGGACTCAGGACTTAGCAAGGCACTGGACTCAGGACTTAGCAAGGCACTGCACTCTGGACTTAGTAAGGCACTGGACTCAGGACTTAGCAAGGCACTGGACTCTGGACTTAGTAACGCACTGGGCTCAGGGCTTAGTAAGGCACTGGACTCTGGACTTAGTAACACACTGGACTCCATACATAGTAACACACTGGATTTAGGACTTAGCAAGGCACTGGACTCAGGGCTTAGTAAGGCACTGGACTCAGGACTTAGTAACGCACTGGACTCCGCACTTAGTAACGCACTGGACTCTGGACTTAGTAACGCACTGGACTCTGGACTTAGTAACGCACTGGACTCTGGACTTAGTAATGCACTGGACTCTGGACTTTGTAGCGCACTGGACTCTGGACATAGTAACGCACTGGACTAAGGACCCACCTGAGGCCCCACAGAGCCCACCTGAGACCTCACACAGCCTACCTAAAAGTGACCCTGCAGAGCCCACCATAGATCCTAAACAACCCATCTGAAACTCTCTATGGTGGGCTCTGCAGGGTCTCAGATGGGCTGGTCGGGGTCCCTTTCCCTGCACATGCAGCTCCTTACCTGCCACTGCTGGGGCCCGGCCTCTTCCCCTGCCAGACCGGCGCTGCTGGGGCCCGGCCTCTTCCACCACGATACATGGGTATCGACCGTACCCCCCTGATGGCGGCAATTGGCAGAGGCCCCAATGGGGTAATATAGGCTGGGGGAAGTGGGGTGTCACTACGTTCTATATGTGACAAAGCCCCCACACAGTGTAATATAGGCTGGGGATAGGGGGGGGTCACTACGTTCTATATGTGACAAAGCCTCCACACAGTGTAATATAGGCTGGGGATAGGGGGGGGTCACTACGTTCTATATGTGACAAAGCCTCCACACAGTGTAATATAGGCTGGGGATAGGGGGGGGTCACTACGTTCTATATGTGACAAAGCCTCCACACAGTGTAATATAGGCTGGGGATAGGGGGGGGTCACTACGTTCTATATGTGACAAAGCCTCCACACAGTGTAATATAGGCTGGGGATAGGGGGGGGTCACTACGTTCTATATGTGACAAAGCCTCCACACAGTGTAATATAGGCTGGGGATAGGGGGGGGTCACTACGTTCTATATGTGACAGAGCCCCCACACAGTGTAATATAGGCTGGGGATAGGGGGGTATCACTACGTTCTATATGTGACAGAGCTCCCACACAGTGTTATATAGGCCATGGGGTAAAATAGAGAGGGGATGGGGGTGTGCCCCCCATATTATAATCTGGGGGTGTCCTAGGAGGAATATGGTGAAATATACAATAGTTTGCTCTCTGGTGACATCCATCTCACGTACGTTGTGTGTTCCAGGATATCTCTGCTCCATCCTCTGGAGGAACTGAAATCCATCCTGGAGAAGATCGTAGAATTCCATGGGACATTTCTCCAGGAATATTCTTGAGCCACCTCCGAAGTCCCGGTACTACTATTCATGGCACCTTACCAGCACTCCACCCACAAATCAATGTGCACCCCACAATAAATGTACTTGTAGTATCTCTGCAGCATTGTGTGATATATCATTGTTACATCGGATGTTATATACTCCTTGGAATCCTATCATAGAGGTGGTGAGAAACAGGAAATGACTCGCCCACCCAAAACTGAACCAAAACCTGTCCTCCTATAAAAAGCTATTACCTGCCTGCCTCCCATGCTGATCCTTCTGCTTCAATAATGAGTCATTGGCCTGATATAGGTCAGCAGAAGGGGACTTCTGAGTTAATTCCTTTTCTGCTCTATGGACTCGTTAGAAGTCAGGAAAGTATTGAAGACTGTGGATCAGGATGATGGCTAATGTCTTCATCAGGGACAGGGGGTTAGCAATGGTTGCCCCAAATTTCTTCCAGGTCAGGTTTACCATTCATCCAACACAAGAACCCCTCTGCTCATCCTCCACCTGCTCTGCTCATCCTCCACCTGCTCTGCTCATCCTCCACCTGCTCTGGGGGCACCATGTTGATCCCTCTCCCAGTCCTGGATGCTGGGGGCTCCGCTGCAATTTTTTTACCTGCAGCAGAGCCTATGCTAATGCACCCCTCCCCCAGCTTCTGCACTGACAGGGAACTTTATGACAGGGGACACCGATGGTCATTATGTATTGCCTACACCTGATCTAGGCTTAAAATATCTATCATGGGCACTGAAACGAGAAATCCACCCAAACTGTAAATCAGAGTTTTAGTAGAACATGAGAAGCTGCTTCAATTTCTATATATTTTTTAGTTTTTGAAGTCCGCGGTGCGTGCAACAAAATACGACTTCCCCTGTGAACAAAAAAAAAAGTGAATTGTGAAATAACAACACACAAAAAAAAGTGCATAAGGGTGCTTTGGTCCTCCTCCAAAGAGGAAGGGCCTTGACATTTCTGAATCCCCCCGGGCCTCAAGGCTCCCAACAGGGGCAAGGACGACTCAGGTCCACCTACCCGAAGGCTGGCGTACCCCTCTCCTCAGGGATCTGCCGAAGCAGGTCCCACCAGTACTTGGTAAGGAGAGGGAGACCCCCCAAGTTGGGGAAGACAGAGAAGCCCGTGAAGGCCACAGAACCTCCCCCTTAAACATCAGGACGGGCCCCAAAGGTACCCGCACCCTCCGTCACATGTGGAGTAAAAGTGCTCAGTCGTGCATAAATAAAAAGGTGCCAGTGCACTGAACTGGCAGGCCATCCGGCCAAGGTATAAAAATTACCCTGGGCTAGCCATAAGGCCTGACCAAGAGGCGTGGTGCAGAAAATGCTTTAAGGTGCCCATACACTGCACGATTCCTGTACGAGAATCGCGGGAAATCCCGCGATCGTACGAGAATCGAGCAGTGTGAATGAAGACGTGCGACCATTTCTACTGTACGGTCGCACGTCTTTTGTCTAAGGAGCACGCTAGAAAACCAGACGAAAATCTTACGATTTTCGGCTGGTTTGAATGATGCTCGGGAGACAAATGCCGAACGGGCCGGTGTGCGCACGCGCACAATGCCCGTTCAGCATTGCGGTCATCGGAAGCCCGCCCCTCAGGGGGGCGGGCTTGCGATGATCGCAAGTACGATCTGCCTGTCCAAGAAGGGCAGATCGTACGTTTTTTAATTACTTTACAACCATCGCAAGACTAATGTCTTGCGATGGTTGTAAAGTGTATGGCCACCTTTAGGCCTGGTTCACACCTGAACGTTTTGTAGCGCGTTCAACGCTCGACGAACGCTCTACAAAACGCTCAAACATCTAAATCCCATTGTATTCAATGGGTCTGGTTCACACCTTGCCGCATTACCATCCGTCCGAACGCGATACAAAACGGCCTACGCCCAAAGAAGTACATGTACTTCTTTGGGGCGTTTTGGTCTTGCGTTTCCATTGGGATACAGCCAAGTAGCCCAAGCAAACGCGCGTTTTTTTCACCGCAAATCACGGTAAAAACGCGCGACGCGAAACGTGCGACAAACGCGCATATTCAATACGCCTAGGTGTGAACCCAGCCTTAGGTGCTGTGACCTAGAGCAGGTGAATCACAGTGGGGTCCCACACCTGAATGATTTTCCGGCACCCCTGGGACCGGAAGCACTGCAGGCCTCTGCGCTCCCCGAACCCTCCGGCCAGAACAGCAACCGTCCCCATCAGGAGACATTAGCGCCGAGGAGTTCCCCTCGCCAGTAAGGAACCCTCAGCACCCGCCTTCACTCCAGAGAGTACTAAGCAACCGTCCCCCCGACAGAACGGTGCTGTTCCTCTCCAAAAGCTGATAAGAACAGATACTACACTTGATGTTAGCCAAAATCAAACAAACTATGTGTGCACCCTCCACCTCCGCTACATCACACTGAAGGCACAGCTAATGCAGGAGCCGGACATGGAAAGTCCCCACTGTCTCATGGAAGCCATTTTTTCCTGCTTCACACCTGCTGAGCAATCACACACAGAAGGGTCATGGTCACATTCGTCATCTCTGCACACATCAGGCTGTTAGAGGTCAGAGTTCCCACCTGGGCGTTTTACAGCGCGTAGGAACGCGCTGCAAAACGCCCTACGCCCAAAGAAGTACAGGAGCTTATTTGGGGTGTATTTGCCGCGCATATCCATTGGGATACAGCCAGGTAGCCCTTGGAAACGCGCGCTTGTGGTGCTTTTTTTTTACCGTGAATCGCGGTAAAAATGGGCGGCACGAAACGCGCGAAAAACGCGCATATTCGATACGCCTAGGTGTGAACCCAGCCTTAACAGTAACAACTGAGCGGAGCCGGCCGTGACATCACGTCAGGCTCCGCTCAGTTGTTATTTATTGCCCGGGACCGGCTAGAAGACTGGCAGGTTCCAGCCAATAATAAACAATTGTTTGTATTTTGCCGGCATCTGTCAGTTGCTTCATTATGCGGCAGGAGTTCATCGCGTGCGGTCGGGTCGGCGTTAGTCTTGTTTTTTATAATTTTTTTTCTTCAAATTTTTTTTAATTTTTGCTAATTTTTTTAGATTTTTGAAAAACATTTTTCAACATTTTACTTTTTTTTCTATTCTGCTCACTACCTCGGAGGTAGTGAGCAGAATAGCCGAGCCTATTCACTTACTGCCGTTCGGCACCTATGAGAATAAGGGGAAGCCGGAGCTTCGGCTCAGCCAATCCAACATCTGGAGTCCTTCTGCACTTCGGCTCAGCCAAACATGCAGAGCAGCAGGCAACGTACGGCTGAAATGAGCCGTACTGAGCCGGAATGAATAGCCAAACAGTGTTCAGCTCGCTTCACTTCGGCTCGGTTGTTCACTCGGTTGCCTTCGCCAACTAAGTGAATAACCCTCTTAGTCTAAATCATAAACATACATTCCAGATTCATCAACACAGAAAGTGTCCATTGTCTCATATTTTGTTTTCTTTCTAAAGCAGCCTGAGTGCAGAAGACTGTTCCCTGCCAGCGTGCTGTACAGAAGGACCCTTGCCCTCTATATGGAAGCAGTGGTCTCCTTACAGAAGTCCGACATGCCCCCTATTGAGTCAGACCTACAGCTCTGCAATCAGCACATGCTCTCTGCTGATTGGAGAGCTCTAGCTCCAACTCAGCAGGGACATGTTGGACCTCTGCAGAGAGACCACTGCTTCCCCGCATGAAGAAAGAGTCCTTCTCTGTGGCATGCTGGCAGGGGACAAGCTTTTTTTACGCAGGCTGTGGCTGCTTTAGAAAGAACACCAACTGGAAGACTTCGCTCACAGTTTGTTTTGATGCTCCTGGAATTTTGCAGATTTAAACTGAAAGTTGGATTGGGCTGTAACCCGTGATGTGTTTTTAGTGTCTCAGCACCATGGAAAAGAATGTACTCCCACACAAGGTATAAAACATCTACAACCAAGGCCACTGATAAGGGGGAGCATAGGCACTTCTCCTGTACTGGCTGCCAGTAAGGAACAAGGACAGTACTGCCTACTCGCCATAGAAACCAGTTGATGTCTGGTCCCCCCCATGCATGGAGTGAGAAGAGGAGCATGCCTATTAGCTGGTTACCATGGTGAATGGGCAGTACCAGCCAGTGGGTAGGCCAATCAGGGTCCCTCCTGCTCGTCTGGACTGTGTTTGGACTCCATCCCCGTACCGACCACAGTCATTAGCAGGAGCTGGAGTCCTGCCCTGAGGTAACCTGCACGGGGTGACCAGCTTAGAAGAAAGTAGGGGTGTGATTAGTGTAAGAAGAGGGATAGAAAATGGTGCAATAGCTAATAGTGTTAGAACAGTGTGACAACCGGTCACCTTCTCCCAAATCTGTTCACTTCTTCACTTCTCCACCCCTTGCATCCCTCATACTACACAGCTCACCTCTGCACCCCCTGAGCATTGCAGGAAGAGGAATGCAGAGGAGAGAGTCTAGCAAAAAGGAATGCAGGGGGTGCAGAAGTGAGCAGTGTAGTAAGAGCAGTGCAGGAGAAGTAGAGGCAAGCAGTATAGGAAGGGGTTACTGGGGCCATAGAGGTGAGCACTGTAGGAAGAGGTGTGCAGAGGTGAACAGTGTAGGAAGAGCGCAATGCTGATGATAAGTCACGGGGGGGAGGCCCTGTCAGGTAGGGTGTATGGGGCCCCAAGATTTCTAATGAGAGTGTGAGTGGTGTAGGAGGAGGGATGGAGGGGGTGCAGAGGTGAGCAGTGTAGGAGGAGGGATGGAGGGGGTGCAGAGGTGAGCAGTGTAGGAAGAGGGGTGCAGGGGGTGCAGAGGTGAGCACTGTAGGAGGAGGGGTGGAGGGGGTGCAGAGGTGAGCAGTGTAAGAGGAGGAATGGAGGGTGTGCAGAGGTGAGCAGTGTAGGAGGAGGGATGGAGGGGGTGCAGAGGTGAGCAGTGTAGGAGGAGGGATGGAGGGGGTGCAGAGGTGAGCAGTGTAGGAGGAGGGATGGAGGGGGTGCAGAGGTGAGCAGTGTAGGAGGAGGGATGGAGGGGGTGCAGAGGTGAGCAGTGTAGGAGGAGGGATGGAGGGGGTGCAGAGGTGAGCAGTGTAGGAGGAGGGATGGAGGGGGTGCAGAGGTGAGCAGTGTAGGAGGAGGGATGGAGGGGGTGCAGAGGTGAGCAGTGTAGGAAGAGGGATGCAGGGGGTGCAGAGGTGAGCAGTGTAGGAGGAGGGATGCAGGGGGTGCAGAGGTGAGCAGTGTAGGAGGAGGGATGGAGGGGGTGCAGAGGTGAGCAGTGTAGGAAGAGGGATGGAGGGGGTGCAGAGGTGAGCAGTGTAGGAGGAGGGATGGAGGGGGTGCAGAGGTGAGCAGTGTAGGAGGAGGGATGGAGGGGGTGCAGAGGTGAGCAGTGTAGGAAGAGGGATGGAGGGGGTGCAGAGGTGAGCAGTGTAGGAGGAGGGATGGAGGGGGTGCAGAGGTGAGCAGTGTAGGAGGAGGGATGGAGGGGGTGCAGAGGTGAGCAGTGTAGGAGGAGGGATGGAGGGGGTGCAGAGGTGAGCAGTGTAGGAGGAGGGATGGAGGGGGTGCAGAGGTGAGCAGTGTAGGAGGAGGGATGGAGGGGGTGCAGAGGTGAGCAGTGTAGGAGGAGGGATGGAGGGGGTGCAGAGGTGAGCAGTGTAGGAGGAGGGATGGAGGGGGTGCAGAGGTGAGCAGTGTAGGAGGAGGGATGGAGGGGGTGTAAAGGTGAGCAGTGTAGGAGGAGGGATGGAGGGGGCGTAGAGGTGAGCAGTGTAGGAAGAGGGATGGAGGGGGCGCAGAGGTGAGCAGTGTAAGAGGAGGGATGGAGGGGGTGTAAAGGTGAGCAGTGTAGGAGGAGGGATGGAGGGAGTGTACAGGTGAGCACTGAACATGCACTTCCTGGTGTCACCACCCACATAGAGCCTGACTTCTGAACTGCAACCCAGCGTCTGAACAATGTAGCATCATCATTGCTTGCTGGAAGCAATGCATGATGGGATATGCAGTCTTGAGAAACGGAGTTTGCATCACATTATGCAGCAGGCAAAGGGATGCATAGCACACTGGGAATCCAGGAAGTTGCTGGAAGTGATGGGCAGACGGAAGGGACTTTTTCAAGCAAGCTTTGATTGAATATATAACAGGAGAGGATTTGCTGGGACTTTCCAACTCTTTTAACCGCCTCATGCGGGTTCACATAATTGCATGTCATCTGCTTGACGTGGTTACACTCCTGCTGCAACTGTGTTCTTGGTATTGTTTTACACAGCAGGCGATTGCTGTTTGTGTGCAAGCGATCCGGCAGCTGTATAGGTGCTGGATCGTTTGTACAGAGCGGCACTGTGGGTCACCCCCCTGGTCGCTGCCACCAGCTTCCCTGGGCTCCGCTGTCCCCCTTGTGGGCCTGGAACCGGCACGGCAGGTCTCCCCTGATAGATCGGAGGGAGACCAGCAAATTTCTAGCCGCTGATCTCTCCTCCGATCACTGGACCCGGAAGTGACGAGCATTACATCACTTCCAGTGTCACTGCGTACATTCTTCGGCTCTTAGAGCCAGGAGCAGCTGGGGAAGCAAATCTCTGTTTCATCAGCTTTTTTGGGGTCCCTAGGTGACATTCGGGGTCTGAAAGACTTCAGATGTCTCCATAAAGAGGACCTGTCACATCCTATTTGCCATTACATAGGGGGCTATGTGATAGCAATAAAGTTGAGTGTAAAAAAAAAAGTAACTTAAAAATAAATACATTTAAGTCCCCTGCCCCCCACGTGCACGCACATGAATGAAAATTGTGCCACACATGTTATATATCGCCGCAAACTTCGCCTATGGGAAATTTGGGGTATTGAAGTTTTTTGCGGTTTCACGGACGCACGCAATTTTAGGGCTCCACATGTTTGGTATCTCCTTACCCGGCGTGACCCCGTCTTTTATATTTTACCAAGACATTGGGTATTATATTCTGTTTTTGTGCACTATCTATAATTTTAGTGTATTTTATCCTAAAAATACTAGTTTGATAAACATTTGCGCAAATACCGTTCGACATAAAAAATTGCAACTAGTGTCTTTTTATTCTACAGGGCCTCCTTTGCGGGTGTGAAGCTGTTTTCTAGCCCAAAAATTCAGATTTTATCATGTGTGTGCAAATGTAAGAAAATGCTCCGGACAAGAAGTGGTTAATTCCTCAACAATGTGTCCATTTGTGTGCAAGATACAAAATATCACAACCGAGCAAAATGGAAACAATGTCCTTGTTTGAAAATAAAACAAAAATGTCACGCCAGTGTCACACACACATACAAACACGTGTGTGCGTGCAACACCAGCATGACATTTTTGTCTACACACAGCAGTGAGCAGACCAAGCTGGCCCAAGTGGCACTTGCATGCACACCACTGCTATAGACTAGCTCAGGCTAGACGGGCAGTGGCAAAAGCCAATCAAAGAGCAGCAAAACTGGCACTGCATGACTGTCAGGGGCACCCTGATTGGCTGGCAGGAAATGTTTTTAAAAATACCAGACTTCAATGTGCCAGTATTTCTTTTTTAATACTGTCCTGACACTGCAGTGGTGAAATACCGGCAAGGTGGCAACCCTCGTTCATATTCACCTGAAGAGTCAGGCCAACCCAAAGGCATGCCTTGTTTGGGAGGCCCAGACCCAACTCACCTGCGGATTACATCACAAGAGCTGCTGATTGGCTCAGCCATTTTTTTCCCACAATAAGCATTGTTCCTATTCAAACCTTAAGTTAACTCTGATTGGTTCTAATTTTTTTGTGCATTTAATTAAAAAAACAACAAACAAAAAAAGCCTCCATTTCATGTGTAAAGTGAGTCACCATGCCATTTTAGATGACCGCAGACCAAAAAAATGAGGGAGACTCATGCCATTTGTTGCCTCTCTACATCTTACAACTGCTGCAAACTGGCAGTCGGTTGTATCAATAAATACAGGCAGATGTGAATTGATTTTCCCCCATAACACACATGTATTTATTCCATGTGATGTTCCTAATGATGTCACAGAGTCCAGATAGAATTCAGGGACTTAGCTGACAACCTTAGGGTCTTAGGTCTGCCACGAACTTGTGTCCCTACAGGTTAGCTATAAACTGAATGAGTGGGCGCCGGGACAATCCACACTGTAACATCAGACCATAATGAGGAAGTCACACATTAAACTTTATTACAATCTTTATTGGTTAATTTTAAGACACCATTAAACGAGCCCTTTTCACATTTTATGTAAATCTCCCTCATCCAACCGGCTTTTATTACAGAAAAATTACCCTTAAGATTTAAGGAATTTAACGACATGGGCCGACTGGAAACCTCACCTTCCCCCCGGGAAGGGGGGGTCACCACACCACGGGGGTCACCTTGGAATAAGGCAGTAAAAGAGGTACGGGGGTGGCTATGGGCTGATCAGGGCCTAGTTGAAGCCAAAAAACTGCCCTTAACAAAGATGTCTTCCGCCATTGACGGTGAGGAGCGGAGATTTCAGTTCGTCGTCATTTGCATAGCAGCGTAATCCAGTGAGATTTACAACTTCAGCAGCGTGGTACAGAGAGCGGTTCTCCACTCGGTGGAAGATTCTACTGGGGATGGCACATTGTCAGGATTTATGGATGGAGGCGCAGACACCACCTGAAACTAAGATTTAGAGAACGGGCCATTTTATGGTTAAAAATAAAAAGGTAAAAAAGGACATTTGTGGGACCACGGGAGGTTACGTGGTGGACATGCGGCCATCAGTCCTTGAGATTAATGTTGTAGGCACATAGTAATCACCTCTCATAGCTCCTCCATGGCTGAGAATTTCCTAGTGAAGTCCCATCTACATGCGGCAGAAGTCCGACCTCGGCATAATACTATCAATGATCATCATATACAATATATTGGCTTTATGAAAATTCTACAGCCTAAGTGCTCCACCCCCAGAGAGACATCCGTCCATCCAGAGAGCCAAAGCCAAGCGGCTCTCACCACCCAGCGTTCTGGAAGGATCAGAGAGCGTTTTACTCGTTGGGCAGAATTTGACACACAAAACAAACTTGGCCGACTTAGAAAGGTGCAGAATCTATTAAGAGCAGCTACAGTTCATTGGACTCATCTCTCCTCATCCAAGATTGTTCCAGCATTGTGACTTCAACGTTTAGGAGTATTCCTGGACAAACTTTTGGTGGAAGTCCTTCAGTCGCTCCAGGAGAACCTTTAGCTTTTCATTAGAAGGCAGGATGGTCATCCTGGGGACAAAGAGAGAAGAGAGAGGGGGGGAAGTCACTTTTTAGGACCAGAATTGGGCCTGAGAACATTCAAGGCGGTCAGATAGGTCAATGAATACCAGAATGTTGGCACGCGTCCATACATAGAATGTCCTCTGCAGTGGTCCTCTCCACTAGGCACCCCGGGGTACAATAGTTTGCATCAAACAAGGAACGGCTCCAGGGACTTCAAAGTACCATCTTCAAAGGAAGCTTGCTTCACAATTGTATTCTTCAACCAATTTGCAGCTTCCTCTTCAGAAAGGGTCTGTCCATGACCCAAAATGTAGCATGATATACTGTAAATGGACGGCTTTCTTTGCCACAATGTCTACATGATGCATTAAAGGAGAACTACGGGGTTAAGGCTTTTCCCCATAGTTCTCCTTAGGGTAACGGGAGGACACAAACTAGCGTCCTCCCGTCACCCTAGGCTCAGTATACTGCAAGCTGTAGCCCGCGGTATACTGAGACACCGCAGCTGAAGCGGATCCCGACAATTATGTCTGGATACGCCCAGCTGCGTGACTGACAGCTGGCTCTGCCTATCTAGAGGCAGAGCCAGCTGTACCCGCCCCCTCCCCCGTCGGATCGGCGGATCGGAGCGGGGAGGGGGGAATCCAGCCCCTCCCCTGTCACGGCAGAGAGCCGTGACAGGATCGAGAGGTGAGCGAACGCCAGTATGTGTTCGCTCACTTCCCGATCTACTGAGCCGACCTGTGACAGTCTCATTGAGGTGAGTGAGAACTATGAGGTGAGTGAAAAGCACTCACCTCATAGTTCTCATTTAAGAAGGAGTTAAGAATACAATTAAGAAGATGAATTTGACGATGCTACTTAGAAGTCCCTGTTGCTGTTCAATGTTCAGAGAAGTCACTGGTCAATGCCTGATTGGTTGCCTTGGCTGGGTACAACTAACTGGTTCTTACCTGAAGTGGTGTGTCCCTTCCCGCTGGCCAAAACCACTCCCCGGAACAACGCAGATCCCAGTTTCCTCCAGGAGCTTCATACAGAAGAACATGTCTGGTGCCTGGCCTTCTGCCTGGGGGAGATCAGAAGATGGATACAGGTCACCACACAGAAGAAAAAAAACACTATGGGCTACATATGTGGCAAGGCTGAAGAGACGCAGGTACATCAGGCCCAACTTCCACTAATCCTAGCAGTGGGGGTCCAGAGGAAGAAATCATAAAAGGGCCCGAGGAGGATCCAGGTACTATTACTGGAAGACACTCCACACCTTACCTACTGTTACTGTTTAAAACAATTTCCCAGGTAAGAGTTTACAGTAGAGATCCCTTACCCACAGTCCCGATCGGTTTCTTACAGTAGAGATCCCTTACCCACAGTAGCGATCCCTTACTTACAGTAGCGATCCCTTACTTACAGTAGCTATCCCTTAACCACAGTAGCGATCCCTTAACCACAGTAGCAATCCCTTAACCACAGTAGAGATCCCTTACCTACAGCCTTACCACACAATAGAGGTCCCTTACTTACAGTACAGATCCCTTACCCACAGTAGCGATCCCTTACTTACAGTAGCGATCCCTTAACCACAGTAGAGATCCCTTACCCACAGTAGAGATCCCTTACTTACACTATTTCCAGTATTTATATAGTGCCAAAATATTACTCACAGCTTTACAGAGTACATAGATCCATTCACACGCCACAGTTTAATCACCAATAAAAGATCCCTTTCCCATACTGCACAGTAAAGTAAACCATAGTAAATATAACCCTAAAAATTGACACTTTTGTGGCAAATTGCTCAATGGAAGGAGACAATTTGGTACAAATTTTACATAAAGCTTATTTTACAGCTCAAAGACTGCAAAAACAAAATCCCAGCCTCTCTCCGACCTGTTGGGGTTCTGGATACATAGCCGAAAACCTATATTTTAAAATATTCTAGACTTGTTTGGGCATACAAGACTTCAGGCATCTGGCAACATACATGGTGGATTTACCCAACCTCCCGTATACTACGTCTCCTAAAATCTACTTGCTGGGACTGGTCGATGGTCTAGCTCCAACAAGAGAAGGAAATACTCTTCTGGGTCTCCTACAATGCTATGCTAGAAAGGCCATAGCCATGGCATGGACAAAGCCGGACTCTCCCTCTATGCAGTTCTGGAAAAAATCTTATAAGCTGTAACCTCCCTCTATATGAGGTACAGAGGAGGTCTCCACAAATTCCTAAAAGTCACCCCCGGGCCTGGCAACCATCCTACAGCTACAGATCTGCTAAAGCCAACTACTGGTACCAGTTATGTGACCCGTGAAGGGGGGAATCCAGCCCCTCCCCTGTCACGGCAGAGAGCCGTGACAGGATCGAGAGGTGAGCGAACGCCAGTATGTGTTCGCTCACTTCCCGATCTACTGAGCCGACCTGTGACAGTCTCATTGAGGTGAGTGAGAACTATGAGGTGAGTGAAAAGCACTCACCTCATAGTTCTCATTTAAGAAGGAGTTAAGAATACAATTAAGAAGATGAATTTGACGATGCTACTTAGAAGTCCCTGTTGCTGTTCAATGTTCAGAGAAGTCACTGGTCAATGCCTGATTGGTTGCCTTGGCTGGGTACAACTAACTGGTTCTTACCTGAAGTGGTGTGTCCCTTCCCGCTGGCCAAAACCACTCCCCGGAACAACGCAGATCCCAGTTTCCTCCAGGAGCTTCATACAGAAGAACATGTCTGGTGCCTGGCCTTCTGCCTGGGGGAGATCAGAAGATGGATACAGGTCACCACACAGAAGAAAAAAAACACTATGGGCTACATATGTGGCAAGGCTGAAGAGACGCAGGTACATCAGGCCCAACTTCCACTAATCCTAGCAGTGGGGGTCCAGAGGAAGAAATCATAAAAGGGCCCGAGGAGGATCCAGGTACTATTACTGGAAGACACTCCACACCTTACCTACTGTTACTGTTTAAAACAATTTCCCAGGTAAGAGTTTACAGTAGAGATCCCTTACCCACAGTCCCGATCGGTTTCTTACAGTAGAGATCCCTTACCCACAGTAGCGATCCCTTACTTACAGTAGCGATCCCTTACTTACAGTAGCTATCCCTTAACCACAGTAGCGATCCCTTAACCACAGTAGCAATCCCTTAACCACAGTAGAGATCCCTTACCTACAGCCTTACCACACAATAGAGGTCCCTTACTTACAGTACAGATCCCTTACCCACAGTAGCGATCCCTTACTTACAGTAGCGATCCCTTAACCACAGTAGAGATCCCTTACCCACAGTAGAGATCCCTTACTTACACTATTTCCAGTATTTATATAGTGCCAAAATATTACTCACAGCTTTACAGAGTACATAGATCCATTCACACGCCACAGTTTAATCACCAATAAAAGATCCCTTTCCCATACTGCACAGTAAAGTAAACCATAGTAAATATAACCCTAAAAATTGACACTTTTGTGGCAAATTGCTCAATGGAAGGAGACAATTTGGTACAAATTTTACATAAAGCTTATTTTACAGCTCAAAGACTGCAAAAACAAAATCCCAGCCTCTCTCCGACCTGTTGGGGTTCTGGATACATAGCCGAAAACCTATATTTTAAAATATTCTAGACTTGTTTGGGCATACAAGACTTCAGGCATCTGGCAACATACATGGTGGATTTACCCAACCTCCCGTATACTACGTCTCCTAAAATCTACTTGCTGGGACTGGTCGATGGTCTAGCTCCAACAAGAGAAGGAAATACTCTTCTGGGTCTCCTACAATGCTATGCTAGAAAGGCCATAGCCATGGCATGGACAAAGCCGGACTCTCCCTCTATGCAGTTCTGGAAAAAATCTTATAAGCTGTAACCTCCCTCTATATGAGGTACAGAGGAGGTCTCCACAAATTCCTAAAAGTCACCCCCGGGCCTGGCAACCATCCTACAGCTACAGATCTGCTAAAGCCAACTACTGGTACCAGTTATGTGACCCGTGAAAACTGATTTCAAAACCAATGGTCTTAAAACACTTTGGGCCCCTATGGGCAGCTATAGAGGTGGTATACAGTGCCTAGCCAGTATTATGACACCATGACCATTAAAAATGCTCAATGATTTACTATTCCCCATACAACTGTCGAAAACCTATACCCTCTTACAGGTGAGGGATGGCCATGTCAAAGAATCAATGCTTCCCTATGTTGAAATATCTTCTTTTACTGCATTGAGGCCATCTTTCCCAAATCTTGGTCCTTTGCCCTAATGATGCTGTGTCTGGGGATCACAGTATCACCCTTAGTTGACATACTAAGCATGAGCTGTAACTGAATTAAATAAAAGGGAATAACTAAGGGGGATCGTGCTGAGAGGGGGCGGTTCTCACCTGGAAAGTGGGCGTGATCTGAGCGGGAATACCTGGAAACCTGATATGACACCTGATGTGTCAAATGTGGGCCACGGATGAGGGTGACAGTGTCCCAGGGACTGGGACTAATATGTTGTATAATTATTATTATAGATTATTATACAGGATTTATATAGCGCCAACAAGTTTATAATTACAATACAATTCAAGACAAGACGGTAAGGAGGGCCTTGCCCGTGGGGGCTTACAATCTAAGAGGGGCAAGTGATACTTGAGGAGGTAGCTGTGTGGGGATGAATTGTTTGAGAAAGTGATGGTTGAGCGGTTAGGTTGAGGTGGGATAGGCTTCCCGGAAGAGATGAGTCTTTAGCGATCGCCGAAAGGCAGTCAGAGTGGGAGATAGACGGACAGGTTGGGGTAAGGAGTTCCAAAGAATGGCAGAGACTCTAGTGAAGTCCTGGAGGTGAGCATGGGAGGAGTTGACTAGAGAGCAGGAGGTCTTGGGAGGAGCGTAGGGGACGGGTAGGGCGATACTTTGAGACAAGGTTGGAGATATATCCGGGGGCGGAGTTGTGCATGGCTTTGTAAGTGGTTGTTAATATTTTGAGTTTTATCCTTTGGGCGATTGGAAGCCAGTGCCAGGATTGGCAGAGGGGGGTTGCAGATACTGAGCGGTTGGTTAGGTGGATAACCATATATATTACAATATATATTTATATTACCTCAAGTTAGAGTTATATCTACTTTAAAATCGTAGCTTCAGCAAAGTGTTGTCTTGTTTTATGCCATGGCAGTATAAAGTCCACAGGCATTAAGACAAGAATCCTCTATGATCACCTGACCTTCCAGCATCCAATCCATGCACATCTCATTGTGCGGCTCACCTGTGCCAGTTTGATGGCCCGCTCTGGTATTTCAATCCTGGGAAAGGAGTACATGGCGCCCTGGACGGGGTTACAGCGTATCCCGGGTGCCTGGTTCAGGATTTCTTCTGTCAGTTGAGCTTTCTCCGCCAGATTACTGAGGACAGCTTGTTTCTCCTGGAGGAATGGAGAGCACATCATTGGGATGTATATGTATCATATAGACAGAGCACACCGATAATCACGGGTGTAATCCCATATAGCACTGTTTTCTATCCCCAGAATAATCGGGTGCCTGGTTAATTACGCAGCACCGTACATAGCGCACAGTCACATCAGTCCCTGCCCTCTAGGACTTTACAATCTAAAGGTCCCTATCTCACATGCATACATACAGGGCCAATTTAGAGAGGAGCCAATTAACCTTCCAGCATGTCTTTGGAGTGTGGGAGGAAAACCCACCCAAGCACAGGAAGAACATACAAACTCAATGACAATGTTGACAGTGACCTGACCGTGATTCGAACCGGGGACCCCCAATGCTACAAGGGAGAAACACTAACCACTACACCACCCTTACTTCACCTCCCCCACTTACTTCTAGGGTGCCGGGCATCCGTCTAGTACTTATGCGACTGTGGTTGGCACATTAGAGTGTAAGCTCCTCTGGTGCAGAGACTGATGTGACTGGCTGAGTGCTCTCAGCACAGCACTGCGGCATATAATCAGAGCTATATATATGTATAATAATAATGTGCGATTGTGGTGAAACCTTAGAGTGTAAGCTCCTGTGGTGCAGAGTCTGATGCAAGTGGCCCAGTGTTCTCTGTACAGTGCTGTGGAATATGTCAGAGCTATACAGTGTGGGATGTTGGGTCTTACCGCCATGAACTGTTTGTAGGAGGGATCTCCAGGTTGAGGTGGATTCACCACCACATCCAGCAGAGCCTGTCCGCTCACCGGAGGGCACAGGCGGACAGACACCAGTTTGGTCAGCTGCTGCTTCACTGCTGGATCCATGTTGACCACCTCCATGTAGCCCCCTCGAAAGCCGCACCTGGAGAAAATAAGGGACAGATTGCATTGGATGGAATAACCCCCAATACCGGTCTGGAGAGTAAACTAGTTAATGAGAAGCAGGCACGCACTCTCCCATGAATCCTTTGGATGTAGAATGGAAGGAAGCCAGCTCCACCACATCAGAGTATTTTGGGCCCAGCTCAAACAGAACCTTCTTGAAGGAGTGGAAGGCGCAGCCTTTGGCGTAGACATTATCCTGGTAGACCTGCAATGAAAACAAGATTAAAAGTTTGTACCCCTGACACAATCTCACCATTGGAGGATTTATTGTATAGTAGGCCCCAAACTGTTTCCTGTTCATAGGACCCCAACTGGTTTAATAGAAGGGTCACCCTAAAGGGAACCTTTACTGAAGGCTGCCATTGCTGATCCACTTCCGAAATAAAAGTCTAAAGACCTGCAAAGCTGAAATTCACCAGAAATAATTGTTATCAGCATCCTTATGGGCCCCTCTGGTGTCTGGGGTCCCCAGGTAGCTGCCCGTTCTCCCCTTATTAAAATTAGCCCTTGAATCTCAAGGTACCTCACCAGCATCACAGCGGAAGGTCTACTATGGAATCTCTGCACTTCCCTCTCGGTGACTCCATATGCCCACCATGTGTGTAGACAATCCTTATAGTGGAGCTCCTGCCTGTCACGATCCAGCCAAGGGTAGGCATGTCTGAATCAGATTTATACTTATTCTGATGAACATCTAAAATTGTAGCGCAGGTCTGTCAGGGCCGAGTTAATTTGGAATATACCCGACATTCTAGCAATAATGAAATCGAAGGAAGGCAAAATGGTTCATTTGTATACCTTTGCGGTGGGGTTCTTTTCAGACCCCGAGTGTGTCCTCACCAGATACCTATGCCTGTGTGTGTCCAGCCAGCTAAATTTTAGGTGAGCCCCCTCTAGGGACAGCTGGTGGTAGTGCAGGCTGTGAAAACAGTTTGGCAACCTTGATCTACCTTCTCTAAGTATTGACAATTATTTTCTGTTAATTCCAATAATATTTCCAATGATCCCAATTAGATTTGAAAATTACAGTCATATGGCTAAAAACAAGAGTGCCTATGGCTGATTTTGTGAATGAGCCGCTTGCGTTCTACATTATACCTCATCGGCCATCAAGAAAAGATTCTCTTCGGCAGCAAAACGAACGACGTCCTCGATGCATTTCCGGCTCTGAACCTGACCTGGAGATGATGAACATAACATCAGCATGAAAAATAGACATGGGGGGGATGATGTGGTAGGAGATGGGGTGGTGAAAGGGAGCGAGATGGGGGGGAGAGGAGCGACAGAAGTGGAATAGCTGCCAATGTTAGGCTCCATCTTCCAAATAAAAGCAGGAATCTGATTGGTTACTGTGGATGACAGGTCCACCTTTGCCTCATTAGCTTACCTGTAGGATTTCCCGGGTTGATGATGCACAGCACTTTGGGGTTGCAGTGTTTCCGTGCCTCCTCCAAGGATCTCCGCAGTTCTTTGATATCCAGAGCCCAGGAATTCTCCTCGTCCAGGTAATAATTCACTTGCACGGCGCCCAGCTCTGCCAGGGCTGCAGAGTACAGCGGGTACTGAGGAATAGGGATCATAACCCCGGTGCGAGAGTTTCCCTGACCGGCCACCAGCAGCTTCAGCATCGTCTGCAAGAGAAACAACCAGAGAGAGTCATAGGTGAGAGATGGTTTCAGCGACCACCAGAGGAGAGACACCACCACTAAAACAGACAACAGACCGCCAGAAGAGATCGTGAGACCACCACTGGGTAAGAGAAAGAGAGAGACCACCACAGATACACAGAACCCCAGACCCACCAGAAATGACACTCAGAAAGACCACCTCCAAAAAGGAGAGAGACTGCAACATAAAGAGATATAACAGGCTACCAGTAGAGATAAAGAGACTGCTGCCAGATAAGAGTAAGTGACCACCACAGAAGGCACACCAGGCCCACTACCAAACGAGAGAGCAAGTGAGAGCGAGAGCGCGCGAGAGAGAGCGAGAGCAAGAGAAAGAGAGTGCGCGAGAGAGTGAGCGAGAGAGAGAGCAAGAGAGAGAGAGAGAGAGAGCAAGAGCGCAAGAGAGGGAGAGCGCAAGAGAGGGAGAGCGCAAGAGAGGGAGAGAGCAAGAGAGAGAGAGCAAGAGAGAGAGAGAGCAAGAGAGAGAGAGTGCGCGCGCGCCAGAGAGAGAGCGCGCGCACGAGAGAGGGAGCAAGAGAGAACGTGAGAGAGAGAGAGAGGGAGAGAGAGCGCGAGAGGGAGCGAGAGAGAGCGCGCGAGAGAGAATGCGAGAGAGAGGGAGAGAGAGAGAGAGAGCGCTGCCAAATGAGAGCGATATTGAGACCCAACAGAAGAGACAGTGAGGAGAGAGAGTCCCCCACTAGCATAGATGCTGAGACCACCACTAGGAAAGAAAGACCGCTGCCAGCACAGAGTCCACTATAACCAGAATAGAGCTTCGTTTCTGGTTGGGCCGGTCCATGAAAATTACCATCATGACAGATAATTGTAAACCAGTTTTATTGTCAGAACTCCGATCACAAGGATAATAAAATGAATGTCTTATGCAACTGGAGGTCTTATCAGAGGAGAAAGTGCAACAATTCTGAACAAACAAATCTGGGACAAGAAGAGGGGGGGGGGGGGGGGACAATAAGAAAAACCCGG